TTTAACTTGATCCACTGCCTTGGTTTTACAAGACCCTATGATAGATTTCATATTAATAGAAGCAAATGAAATATCAGATGTGGCTGGTTGATGAGGACAAGTTGTGCCCAAGTCTCCCCTACCACACAACTGCATTTTTAATCAAACTTTTTAAGACTACACAATTTATGTATAGGTGGCCCTATGGGTCACCTATATGGATACATATGGGTATATATTACCCCATATGGGTAATACCCAAACTTTTCATTCAAAATAAAAAGCAAACAGAAAAGCACTCTATAAATTACCTGTCTACACATGGCACAGGCTATGTTACAGGCTATTAACTGTCACGGGCCCACATTTCTTTTTCTAAAATACACCCACTTTAGCAACATATTTATCAGTGACACCTGCACCTTTAAAATATACTCAAAAGACTCCCCTTTTCCAAAATAAAGATTTGAATAGATGTAATTCCTACACTGCAACACTACTAAGTTTGGATGTCTACACTTAAAAATACAGGAGATTTCATTATTTAAAGGAGGCTTCCCTAGTATCTTGTGGCAATAAAAACAGAATTTGGGACAAACTTATAGTATTCTACTGGAATATTATGTAGTTAGCTGCTATGAGAAATTTGAAGCAAATACATTCACTGTACCCCAAACCATGTTTTCTTCAAAATATTTATACTGTTATTAACAGATAAGGGAACATATAATGCATACGAACAAGATGTGCAGAATGAACAGAATTTTGAGATAAAAGGTTAAAGGGCTAGAAATCTAATTCCCTTTCTCTGAGATCATTTTAAATCTTGGGCTCTTTCACAAAAAAATTGAAAGAAAAAACAAATGATCCAATTTACCCATATTAAAGTTAAAAAAAAAAGTCCACTTTTCCAGTTTTTCTTTAAATATCCCCTGTAATAGTGCAATTTTTGCTAAATTTTATATACAGAACAGAGATAAGAAGGTAAAATACATAAACATGATGACAGCTGAGATTAGCAATCTCCCATCCTAGAAAACTAGTGATCACTGGATCAATGAAATTTAAAAACATCTTTGTATGCTAAAAGCATGACAGTTAAACTTTTCCCTACAATTAAATTAACTTCTCCTTAGACATTGTATATTTGTTAAATCTGATATGAATTTCAGGATTAAGGAAAGACTAAAGAAAGGTCAACTTAATTCTAGCATTAGAATAGACAGTTTCAATTACAGCTATATTTAGATATCTAAGTAGCGCACTCATTGCCTAAGGAGCAGTATATGTAGCTGAAAACAACTTTTTCTCCATTTCTTCTAAATCTGACCTTTTTTTTTTGTGCCACAACATTGTATTACTTCAGTGAAGTGCTTGTTGGGATCTGTTCTTCGTACGTGAACTAACTGCCAATTACAGACCACCGAGGTGAATTTTTTCTTAAGCTACATACTTAGTTGTTCTTTGTTAATTCTGAAGCATGCATTTCAAATCCATTAGGGACATGGTATGATTTCACTCAGTTTTGATTTCCTCCTCTTTAAATACCTAATAATTAATGCATAGTAATCTATAATCATAGTAATCTTTAACAGAGCAGTGTGTTGCCATAATGATCGCCTAATACCTTTTCCTCTTTATGTCTTATTCTTCACTGCTTAACCACTATTTTTTACTTTCCCTTTTTCAAGCCTAGTAGATTGTTTCTCCATGTTAAAAAGTCATCTTACTCTTTCATTTACCTTTAGTTTAATGAATTACTTCTTAAGCACTATGACGAGTCTTTCTATAACTGCATTATAGACAGTGTTTGAACTTCAGTGGTGATCTCCACAATGACTATCTTCTTTTTAAGGAAATGAAGTCTGAAGAAATGTTGCTATGTATGCAAACATTAGAAATATTTTGTGACTCAGCTGTGTGTACCATGAACTTTTGGCCATCTGCAAGCTCTTTGAGAGATAGCAAATCTTACAGGCAATCCACAACTTTGAAAGGATTTTGATAGGAGATAGGATTATTTCTCTGAGTATTTTATTTCTCTGTGAACTTCTACACAGACTAAGGAGTTGGAATGATGCAAAACTTTCAGAATAGAGATAAAATCCCATCAGAAAATAATACATTCTCCTCCAAAAGTGGTCTCATTTTGAGTTTTACAAATCATTCTTGACTGACATTTCTCCCAACATATTTTTGAAACAAGCTGTTAGGTGTCAAGCTATTGTCTTGGCATAGTCCAAGTAACACAGCAGGGAACAAACTGATACTTGGGAACTACGAGGAGACAAGACCGAGAGAAACATATTTTGTGTCAGTCACTTCCAACAACCTTATGCATTTACTCATGTTTGCTTAAACAAGGGCAGCTTCTCCTCTCCATTCTCAGCAGCTAAGAGCCTGATTTGCTGGCTATAGGGCTGTGCTACTGCTACTCACGGAGCCCTTGACAGCAGCTGCAATGTACGACACCCATCTTCAGTGTCTCTACAGTCCTTCAAGGCTTCTCTATTATTTTTGGAAAATGTTCCTGTTGGATGCTCATTATTAAGTTGACAGCTGAAAGACTTCCAGTAATTTAAATCACAAGACCTTCAGCAATACACTAAAAGAAAAAGCACATTATAGCATCCACTAATCCTTTTCCACAGAGCAGAGAGCAAGGAAAATAACAGCAGTTACTTATTCTGCATTCAGCTGGATTAATTGCCTTCAAGCACCTTACTTTACTTACTGAACAGGGCAAACAATTTCTGATTCTTCCCTACAATTCTTCATAGGACATTTCCCTGTCAAATTGCTTCAGGCTGACCAACCATCATTAACTCTCCTTTATAATAGCTCTTTTCCCCCAAACCTCTCTAGTCTCCCCTGAGGTCCAAATGCCATCATTATGTTAAACAACTTCAATACTTTCTAACTAGTATAGGCTAAACAAGAAAAGGTGAATAGAAAGTACTCATGCTGTGTTATGTGCATCACACCAATCACATCAGTTAACTAATTTACATCTAGAAAAGAACAGTAACAGCAAATGTGTTTTGTGTATATGGAAATCAAGCAATGCTTCCCAACACCTACTGCTTGGCCTTGCTCTCTGCCATCAATGGTAGTTCACAATTTCAGTAACAAATAGCGGTTGTGGGTGTTCTTGGAATTTAAATAGGAAATAATACAAACAAAATTTACCTCAGCGAGACCAAACTTTCCCCTACTTTTCACTAATTTTCCATAATATATTTTAAACTTCATTATTTTAAGCTATTAATTTAATTAATACTCTAGCAATCTTCATTCAAGCTCCCACAGAAAGTCAGTATTCAGTCCACTAACAAACTTAAGTTCCTTTGTTTCACAATACAGCAGTTAGAGACTTATAGGTGTTATAAGCATGCGTCTCAAGTAATATGTATCACAAAAATAATCAAAAAGTAGATTGCTGTATGAAAAATATATGCTTGAGTCGCTCATTGAAAAGAACAATGGCATGAAACAATTTTCTCCCACTATGTATCAGAAGCTGTCGTTTTGAAATTCATTCTGGCTCCCACAGTATAAATACACTTCAGTATTTCTATAAGCAATGCCAAAAAATCAGCAAGCGCTCACTCACGACTTCTGCCAACAAAAGCATGACTCTTCACACAAGAATTTTCTTGCCATTTATAAACAAAGACATTCAGAGCCCACGCGGGTGACTGGCTATATACTCCACCATAAGATAAAACAGACAGCAAGATACTGATTTATTACAAGCAGCAAATATGGTACAATAATTCTGTTTAAACATGCAACATTTATGCTAAACAAAAAAAAAAGAATTATACTTAGAATATTATACTATTATGTATGCACCAGATCGGCATGAATTAATTTAAATTATATGAAAAAAGATGCAAACAAGTATTGTTAGATTACAAAAACTGCAAATCACACACTAAAAAAAAATTTACCAAGAAATAACTTTAAAATTAAACTTCACTTTTGTAAGCAATAATCTCACTCACTTCTGACAAGACTTGCTCTTCAATCTTGTGCCTATTCCAAGTGTCAGTAGGGATGAAGAGCCTCTAATTTGCCCAGTAAACTGTAGCCAGCCCCTCAGATGACTCTGGCCCTGTGCCCTAGGTCGAGCCACGTGAGAGCTCGACCGCTTCACCTCGTCCCCCCTGCCCTCACTGCAGTGACCACCACGGTAGAACCGCACGGGAAAGGGGAACGCTCCTTGTTCTAGCAACATCACAGGCCACCTTCTTCACTGGCTGAGTACCAGATACAATGGGAAATGAGACAAATATTTTTTAAATGCAGTAACTGGAGCTAACTTCAATGATTATTAACGCTCCGTCTTCAAAAAAAAATTTTTTTTTATAATTTTATATATGCTCCCATAATAGGATCGAGGGAAATTCCTATACCCTTAGAATATGCAAGGTGGAGGTGGGGGAGAGGTACGAATTGTTGAGTCCTTCTTTGACCAATTTTCTGTTAAACTCATAGGGAGATCATGTGACTAAAAAATAGTAAAAATCAAGGAAAATCTTATAGAAACCTCAGGACTTGGCATAACAAAATTCAAAAAGCACAAAGTTATAAAATGAATAAATAAAAACTTCCCATTAGTTATATTATATATAATGTGTAGTTTGTAATACTTCTGATTCCTATACGTACTCCACAAAATCCAAAGCAAATAAATCTTCATATCGTGAACACAAAAAAAAATGACTGAAAGCATATCCCATGCTGTCAATAAAAAGATAAAGAAACAGCAGTCTGTAATATTCTTCTTCCTGTTTACTTTTTAATGTGCAAGAAAAACTTAGGTTGCAAATTTCCAAACTCACTGAGCAAAATCAGTCGCATAACTCCCATTAAATTCAGTGGAAGTTAGCAAAATAACTCCCCCAAGCTTCCATTTGTTTAGGGTTAAATTCTGCTATTAAAGAAAATAGCTAACCTGCAAATTACATCAAATAGGTAATAAACCTCATAAAAAGTAAATAAATGATTTGTCTTACCTCATTAAATCTTGTCACAAGATCTTCCACGGCATTATGTTCATCAGTTTGAGAAAGAATAGTAGCAGATATGGAAGCTTTAATACTTGAAAGCTTGCTTTGACATTCAGCATTGCCCAAGTCCCTGGTTAAAAAGCAGAGGTAGTCAATGGGCAGGACTTTGCGGTAGAGCTCCTGCTCCTGCTCGGTCAGGATGCTGGCAACCTCCTCTGGGAACTGAATGAGGTGCTGGAGTTCGATCAGTTCTTTACTGATACCAGCCACGTTGGAGGGAAGGACACTGGAACCAGCCATAGATGTGCACGCTTGACGTTCTAAAACAAAACAAACCAAAAGTTTATTAGGCTTTGCCTTTAACCCTGGACTACGCTGCGCAAAATTAAGACAACTTCTTTTCGTTCTTTTCTGTTCTTCATTCACTTATCCAGCACTACAGTATTTCATAATTATTTTATATTTCAACAATCTAATACACTATTCTAGTTGGGAACTTTCCATATGTGTCTATAAAGCAACATCTGGTATTAGTTATTTTGCTGGTAACTAGAGCATTCGAGACTGTTGAGCTACCTGACAAAACGTGCTGGCCTCCTGACTTCCCCAAACACCTGCTATAGTCACCACTCTTCTCCTAACCTTGAATAAAACAATCCTTTGGGCAAGGTGTTAACTCTACTTAATTTCCATGTACAGTCCACGGTACCAAAGGGTTTGGGGATTTGACTGGGCCATTGGGACTCTACTGCCGCAAAAAATAAGGTATACTGATCAAGAATGGTCAACATTTTTTTCATATTCCTCTTGCTAGAACATAAGATTCATCTGAGCTCAGTGAATTTTGAAAATATATATCCGAATATACAAAACATTTCCTATTCTTCTGGGAAAATGCATATATTTGGAAATATGCATGTTTTATCCATTACTGCAATGGAGATTGAGGGTAGTTTTGTAATATGCTAGCAGTGATATCCTTTGAAAATTAAAACTTTTCCTAAGAAGGAAGAAGCCAAGCTTTGTAAGATCTTGCGGTAAGCCTGAATTATCAACACAATGATTCCAAAATAGTGAGTATGAGTTGTTTGACTAGATAAGTTTAGAATGGCTGCGGTGAACAATAGCTTTTAAAAAACACAGTGCTACTAATACGTGTGTGTATGTGTTTCTTCACGTAATATCCTCGGAGTTCTTCACACATATAATACAGTTACACTCTAGACCTATCTTTCACTTCGAACTTTTTTTTTCTAGCAATAAACTCTTGTTTTATACAGTGGACAAGTATTCTATTTTCTATAAAAAAATAATTATGACTGATTACAATTCACTTATAACAAACAAAAAATACGCTATATGAGGTTTCCCTTATATGTTTTCCTTATATGTAAAATCTATTTAGTGTGACGATAGAAAATTACCTTTATTTATTCCACAAATATATATGTCAGAACATATAGAAGCCCTAAATAAAGCCTTTAGCTGTTAAGAATAGGTGTAGGTGTGTGCATATATATATTTTATATATATATATACACACACACACACAAAACATATATAGCTTCTGAGAGAGAAAATGAATAATCTGTTTAGCACAACTGAAGAAGCTAGGGAAAAAGTAATGGACTTAATTGCAACAAGTATTTGGGTTACAGGCTAGGCAACAGGTGCAACTTCAAGGACAGTGAAATACTGCTATATATTATCCGCAGATGTCAAGAAATCTCTTTTAAGAAAGGTTAGAGAAAAGAGCGGTAAAAAATAACATATATACATACATTGATTTTTGTCAAAAAGTGAAATGCAGTGAGTTTCTGGGTTTCCTTTCAGTCTTGTTTGTAATTTCCAATTCCACTGGAATTGCAGTTATGTTTTCCATTTCAGCTTCTGCTGAACAGCTCTGAGAGGTTCAGAGGTTTGGTAAGAAAAAGTTCTCAAAGGCGATGTGCAGAGTTTTTGACTTTATAACAAATTATGAGCACATGCCAAAATAAAAACAATACAAAACATGACATTTATTTTATATTAGAGGCAGTTGCTTAATGTGTGCTTGCATAATGCTTTGCATATACAGAATTTACAGACAGAATTACCACTATCACAACCAGCATTAGTTGAGGAAAAAAAAAAAAAAGGTGAAATGAGGACATGGAAGAATGACACAAACCTCCACTCTCTCCCAATTGCTTCCTATGATTCTCCGTGCTCCACGCGATAGGGGCCTGCACTTTGTGGAGAAGCACTGCCCTGTGACATCCGAGGAGCAGTGTCAGCGTCACCGAGGAGAGGGCAGAGCAGCACAGCCCATCTCCAGCCCCCCTGCACCTCCCTGCTGAAAAGGGGGGTGTTCAAGGTGCCCCTCAAGGTACAAAAGCATTTTACTTTGGGCTAGACATGCATTTTTCAAGCAAAGCTCCCAAATGTCTCCACTCACTGTGGTTTAGGTTACAGCCTTTGAGCAAACAACTGGGATCCATTTCATGCGGAAGGACACCAGGACACGGGCTCCAGGAGGGCGGCTGGTGCAACGCAAGTGCTGATGAGCATCAGCCCTTAGCAGCCCCCTGGCTCAGGAGGGGACACGGAGGTCAGAAATAGCAGCACAGAGGGACCAGAGAATGCAGGACATGGCTTGGCTGCCATGGAAAGCAGACAGCAAGTAGCATGGGTGACAGCAATATGGGTACTTTGCAAATTCAATATTATTTGGTAACCAGAATTACAATCATGCAATTTTTTTATGTATCAATATAGTAGGGAAGGTATAAGTCTTTATAGAGTGCCAAGTCAAGGAATGACTGATGGAAGAAAATTAAAAATCTGGGAGAAGATGTGCTCTTCTCTGACAAATTGATTCCTGGTCAGATTTAGGGTGCAGGTCAAGGACTAATGAACATTTTGCCTTCTTCATTACAGTAATACTGACTACAAAAATTATCTACATTCAAACTTCTGACAGGTCCATGTTCCATAGTTGTCTAGGAATTTCAGTTTTGCTTACACCTCTGAGCAAGCCTGACACTGACTGACACCACAAGCTCAAACACTGTTCGTAATCCTCTTGGACTCTGCCTTGCTTAGACACGAAGTTTTCAGAATCCACTGTTACAATCACTTGTATCTGAGAACAAGGTCCAACACACTGAAGCAAATAGAGATAACAGGATGGATCCAGAGTGTATCTGCTGACTGCCAGGAACTATTACGAATATATCATTTGAATTTCATTTCACTATACTCACTGCCCACTGCACAAAGCTAATGCAGAAAGGCTAATGAAGTTATTTTCAAAGTCCTTAATGAAATTATCTGACAGAAATCCTCATCTTCCATATCAAAGATTTTAAAAGTCAGCTTCATTATCATGGAAAAATAAAGCTGTCAAGAGGAAGAAGCTATGCTAAGATCTTTTAAGTCAAAGGCTAAATGAGATCAGCTACCATTCTTGCTGGATATGAAAAGAACACACAAAAGTGAATTTCAGATTAGCATTTTTAGATCCTTAAATTTGTTAAACTGGATGAACCACAAAATATCTTTTTAGCGCAATGATCCACAGAATAAGTTGATGTAGCAGGAGAGCAGCCAGCACCCAATGAGAGGGGTAGGGGCCAACCTGAATTATAAACATAAAAAAAATGTGCATGCCCTGACTGTTGACATGTTTTACCTCTTCAGATTCTGATTTTTACTTTTCCTAGTCTGAGTCTGATATGTTCAATCACAGAAAATTCAGCTTCTTTATTCTCAACTTCACTACCCCTCATGACCCTGCATAGAAGTCCCCTCCTACTACTTTCTCTTTTTTTTACTTTACTATTTGTCTTTACTAATCTAATCCTTTCTTTCTGGACTATTTCTTTGTCTCTTTGCCTAAGACTCTTACCATTTTTAATGCCAGGAACTGATCTGCCAGCTTTGCCTATAAAGCTCCCTAACCAGTCTCACCCATAAGGTCTCTGGCTTTGGGTTGTTTGTCAGCTTTAGTCTTCAGGAAATATCACACATTTCTGTGCTTCAAATAAGACCAGTTCTTCAGAATAACTTGCCAAATGGCAGGTCCAGATCAGGGTGTATTTTGTTGTTACAGTCAAGGTAAGGTACAATCCAATCTTATTGCTCAAATCAGCAGCTGCTGCAGTAAATCATCTTATTCTTTGCACTCTAAGACACCAAGTTAATGCTAGAGCAACTAGAAGGAAATGAGAAGGTCTCTGACTACTCACATGCAAGCTTTTCAGTGCTGGAATTGATAGCTTTGTTCTCCTTTGAATAAATACCCAGAGAAGATAATCTTTTAAATAGCAAGTACTACTTCTACAATCAACCCCAGATAACCTCTGCCAAGCTTCAGACTCATGGGTAGACATAATCTCTGTTGATACACATGGGAACGAAAACATATCATTCTTTCTTTTCTACTAAACGAATAATCTATTTAAGAATGAAATACAGAAAAATACAAAATGTCTTCAGCCTAGGCTTGTCAAACTCCTGAAAAACACTCATTTACTCATTCAGTGATCGATTTTGTTTTAAAACTTTCTGCAAAAATAATCAGATTATCTTCAGATTAACTCTTTTTTTTACCACAATAGTTAAAATTTCCATACATCTTGTACACATACAAGCTTAACAAAAGACATACTGAGGAGTGTGTGTAAACTGATACGTGTGCACACAGAAGTTTTAACCTTGAAAACTGAGAGATTTTCACTGATATTTTTTCCTCTAGATTTGTGCTGAGATAGTAGCAAGGAGTTAGGGACCTCATTTTAGAGAAAAATGTGAAGATACTCTGATAAATAAGAATATGAAAAATACTGCTAGACCACTAGGTAATAATCTACAATCATTTGTAAACTTTCCTGTGTTTTTACATTCTATTAAATACAGTAATTCTAATACTTTCTACAAATAAAAGCAAATTATCTGGTAATTTAAGATATTACCTGTGTAGTTAAAATTAAAAGCTGCTTATTTATGAAATTTTATTTCATCATGCACATAAACAACTTAATACTGTAAAATATGTTATAAATGTTGGGCTACTGCCATCAGTTTTCCAGAAGCAGAAACCCTGGATTGGTTTTGAAGGATGCATTTTCTAAATGGAATTTGTACAGAGACAGAAGGAAAATAAACACAGCTCTTAGTATAATCAAACGGATGTCAAAAGTGCTAATCCTGCTTAAAATCACCGCTTCCAACCCTGCAATTTGTAAATCACATCGCATCACTTTCCCTGTGAAACCCAAGAAAGGACAGACAGAGTTTTCATCCGTGCTCGGGCACAATTCTTAAATTTCATATATGT